CCTAAAGCCTGTAAACCCTAAACCCTAAACCCTAAACCCTAAACCCTAAACCCTAAACCCTGAACCCTGAACCGAAGGCCAATCAGATGCATGGTTCCGGCCGCTTCAAATGGCCGGATGGCCGCACCTACCAGGGCCAATACGTCCAGGGACTGAGGCTCGAGGGTTTAGGGGATTTAGGGGTTTTGGAGTTTGGGGGGTTTGGGGTTTTAGGGGTTAAGGGTTTAGGGGTTTCGGGGTGGTGGGGTTTTAGGGTTTAGGGGTTTTGGGGTTTAGGCTCGAGGGTGGAGGGATTTAGTTCGGGGTTTAGGGGTTTTGGAGTTTAGGAGTCTAGGGTTTTAGGGTTTAGGGGTTTTGGGGTTTAGGCTCGAGGGTGGAGGGATTTAGTTCGGGGTTTAGGGGTTTGGGAGTTTAGGAGTCTAGGGTTTTAGGGTTTAGGGGTTTAGGGTTTTAGGGTTTTTAGGATTTAGGGTTTTTAGGATTTAGGGTTTTAGGGGCTTTGGGGTTTAGGGATTTAGGGTTTTAGGGGTTTCGGGGTTTAGGGATTGAGGGATTTCGGGATTTGGGTTTTTAGGATTGAGGGTTTTAGGGGTTTAGGGGTCTAGGGGTCTAGTTTTAGGGTTTTAGGGGTTTTAGGATTTAGGGTTTTAGGGTTTAGGGTTTTAGGGCTTTTAGGGCTTTAGGGTTTTAGGGGTTTTGGGGTTTAGGGGTCTAGGGTTTTCGGGTTTGGGGTTTAGGGCTTTTAGAGTTTAGGGTTTTTGGGGTTTAGGCGTCTAGGGTTTAGGGTTTTAGGGTTTTTAGGATTTAGGGTTTTAGGGGTTTTGGGGTTTAGGGGTCTAGGGTTTCAGGGTTTAGGGGTTTAAGGGTTTTTAGGGTTTTAGGGTTTAAGGCTTTAGGGATTTGGGTTTAAGTTTTAGGGTTTGAGGTTCACGGCCTAAGCTAAGGTGAATTTTCTAGGCCTTCAGGTTTTTGGGTGGGGCCAGGTTTGGTGTTGGGGGTTTGGGTGGGATTTTGGGGTTTAGGGTTTAGGGTTCAGGCTGTCTGCCGCGGGGTATTCAGGCTGAGAACGATTGGGTTTTTGTGCTTCCTTTTGGGTAACTGGGTAAGTCTTGGGGTGGATGAAAGCAGATGGACCCACGGATTCTGGCATATGATTGTTGAAACAAGAATCCCTGGACAGTTGGTGAAATGGCTCGTGGGGAAGTCCGTGCTTGGTGTCCAGGGCGTAGGCTTCTGGTGCAAAAGGGTTCCGGGATGATGGGAGTGTGGGAGCGACCAGGACATGGCTCTCGATGCCTTCCAGAAAAGCCAACCCTAAACCCTAAACCCTAACCCCTAAACCCCTAAACCCTAAACCAAAGAGCCTTGCCAACCCGTCGAGAAGCCCTGAAAGGGACAATCATCTTGAATTGCAACCACGATGTGATGATGGAGCCAAGCCAGCTCTGTATCTTCTGGTATATCGTGGGGACAAAGACGAGCCGCATCTCATTAAACCCACAAAGACTCTTGACTGTAGCATTTTCTACTCCGGAAACTCGGCGAACTTCAAAAGATAGTACCATAGTATACTATAGTAAACTGGTGTAGATACTTGTATATTAAAGTATATTTCCCTTTGGTATGGTATGGTATCGTATAGTATAGTATAGTATAGTATAGTATAGTATACTATAGTATGGTATGGTATAGCATAGCATAGCATAGCATAGCATAGCATAGCATAGCATAGCATAGCATAGCATAGTATTGTATAGTGTGTGTGTATATATATATATATATATATATGGTACCCCCCCCCCCCGGTACCCACCTTTTCTGTTTTTTATCAACTATAGGGCCACACTTGTACTGG